AGCAGGCCAAGCAGCATCATAGGAGCAGATGCTGCTTGGCCTGCTGTGTCCTATGATGCTGCTTGGCCTGCTGTGTTCATCCAGCCCTGCACCTTCAGAAAATATACATTTGTTGAGTCTTCCCTAAAAAAATGCTGAAATTATCCAATTCATTGATGCTTCATCAAAAACCCGCTTTTCCGAACTGTACCTGCAGCTATCGGATTCAGTAGTATACTTAAGTCTGGACATGCAAATGAAGTTGCTGCAGTAGGACTATTTGATACCAAGCACAGAACATCTAACAGGCAGCAGCTAAGTGTCAAAAAATAATTTATTTCGTTGAGCAGTATTTTTATAAGTTTCATGAGGTGCAATATCAGAACAGAACTTGCTTCCAGCCTCACCTTGATAAATACAAATTTCTCCTGTGCAATGAAAGGCAGGGGAGGTTGGTTTAAAAAAATATTATTTCGCAATTGAACATATTTTGTAAACAGGGGCAGCAGTTCCTATAAAATTGATAGAAGGAATCACATCAGATGAATAGCAAATTGATCTCTTGTAGGCTATGACAGAAATGTTTTTCATAATATCTTGGGATTCCTTGATACTGCACATAAACATATTAATTTGGAGCAAGAAGAGGTTCTCACGGTGCTCTGCCATTAACTAAGATCATTGCTGATCTGATTACTATACATTTTCACCAATCACAGATAACCTTTCACTCCCTTATCAATAATTTATCAACTTGTAAAAAACCAGTAAAACTGGCAAACACATACTGGTCTAAAATAGAGGTCCGGTATAACCAATCTGTTTATTTCCGAGTACAACTGTTCTTTTCCTGCTTTTTCTCCTTCTGGTTTAAAAATATCACGCCTTCATCTATCCACTTCATCACCTCATCAAAAAACTCAATCAAGCTTGTGAGACCCAATTTCCTATGCACAAATCCATGCTGACTATCCCTAATGAGTCCTTGCCTTTCCAAATGCATGTAAATCCTGTCTCTCAGAATCCCCTCCAAAGACTTGACATCAGGCTTACTGGTCTTAGAGTTCCCTGTCTCTTCCTTGCAGTCTTTCTTAAATAATAGCACATTTGTGACTCTCCAATCTTCTGCCACTTCACCCGTGATTGTTGATAATACAAATATCTCTGCTAGGTGCCCTGCAATTTATTCCCTAATTTCCCAAAATGTCCTGCTCTTAGATTCTCCCAGAAGAGAAAGTATCCCTTCTAAATACACTCTGTCAAGACCCTTTGAGATCATCTATGTCTCAATCAAGTTGTCTTTCACCCTTCTAAACTCCTAGAGATACAAACCTAGCCTGTCTAACTTTTCCTCATAGGTCAAGCCAACCACTCATTTTCTGAACCATTTCCAATGCATTTAGATTCTGCCTTAAATAAGGCAACTGATGTTGTACTGTACCAAAGCCCAGAACAACTGGAGGCTAACCACCCTTATTCTGTACTCATATCCACTCACAATAAATGACTAACATGCAATGACTTAATGAATTTATATGGTAACACGTGATTCATGAACTGGAACACACAGATCCCTTTGCATCTCAAAGCTCTAAAATCTCTCACCATTTAGATAATATGTTTCTTTTTCATTCTTATTGTCAAAACAGAAAAAATCCCATTTTCCCACACTATATTTCACATTTGTCAGTTTTTTGACAACTCATTCAACCTATCTATGTCTTTCTGTAGCCTTAGTGTTCTCTTCACAAATTAATTCCGTACCTATCTTCATGCCATCAGCAAATTTAGCAACCATACCTTGTATCCTTTCATTCAAGCTATTTATAGCAAATGTAGGAAGTTGAGGCTTCAGCACTAACCTTTGTGGCACATACTTGTTACATTGTACCATTTATACCAATTCTGTTTCTTCTAGATGGAAAATCTTTTAATCGTGCCAATATGTTACCTCCTACCACATGACCTATTATTTTGCATAATAATCTTTGAGTTGGCACCTTATTGAATGCCTTCTGTTAATCTATGTGTTGTATCAACTACCTAAAGCACATGCTGTTTCTTCAAAGAACTCTAATTTGATTAAATATAACTTCCCCTTCAAAAACCATGTTGTTACTCTGCCAGATTACAGTGACTGTTTCTGAGTGTATAGCATCTTTAACATTTTCCCCACAACAGATGCCAAGTCAACCGGCCTGTAGTTTCTTGCTTTCTGTCTTCCTCCCTTTTTGAATAAATGAGTTACAATCATTATTTTACAATTTAATGAAGCCTTGCTTAAATTTAAGAAATTATACATTAATAGAAACAATTATTATCTATTTTTATATTTTTAGCTATCTCTCATACACTCATTTTAACTCTTTTATTCAAATTTTGTAAGCTTTTTCTTGTTTTTCATATTCTGACCCACCACCCACCTTTGCACAATTATGATTTTTCTTTATGTTAAGTATTATTTTAACTTATTTTTTAGATAACCATGGATGGTGGGTCACGTCTTTAGAGTTTTTCTCATTGGAATATGCTTATTCTTTATATACTGATATAGAGCTTTGAATATTTGCCACTGCACCTCCTTTGATCTGTCCCTTAACCTAATTTGCTAGTTCTGTTTCATGGCCTATTAAGTGCTTTAACTTAAGTTTGAAATGTTAGTCTTGGACCCACTCTTCTTTCCTTTAAACTGAATATAAATTTCAGTCATACAATGATTACTGCTTTCTGAGGGTGCCTTCACTACAATCAATCATTACACAACATCAGATCTAACAAAAGCATGCCAGGCTACTAAATGGGTAGTTTGTTTCAAAAAAAATCCTTCGAATGACTTGAAGTGAAACATGAACTTATTTAAAATCGACACACTTGGAATCAAAATTGGGCCGCATTGCCTAGATTTTCAATCTGGGCCATGAATCAGAAATGAGAGCTATTCCTGGTCCTGATGCCACGAGCTATGCTTTAGACACATCCAGTGCTATTTTCAATGATCCAGGCAATATAAAAGCCTAGGAGTGGGCTTGTGGTCCAATCAGGGACAACAGGTGGGCACCAGATCCTGGTTGGCTATGGAAAGCCTCTCAACATTCAATGATTGGCAGCTCCACCAGCTGATGTTTCTATTGTATTAAAACGTTATGGCATTCTGACAAAGACCCTGGAAGTGCAGTTCCCCCAGGGGACAGCTAATGGCTTCGGTTTTCATGCAGTAGCTGTTATAGGTCTGGAGGAGGAAGAGGGGACCCAATCTTGAAGTTCATTCCACCCCCTCCTCTACTTTCAGCCTACCAAATTGGTCTATGCCAACTTGAGTTGTCACACATTGGGCTGAAAATCCCCATGTAATGTGGAAATGAGGGCATAGTAGGTGCAGTAATTTAAAATAGTTGGCTACCCACCGATGGGCATTGAAGAGACCTTGAGGGTCAAGTTCATGATGGGGAACTGGCAGAGGCAGGATCCATAAACCAGGGACTGACAGATGGAAAAGGGAGTCTCACTCTATTTTGCTTCTGAACGTTTTTGGGTCCTAAATTCAATCTGGGCCCTCTAGCATCAGACCAAAGTGATTTCATATTTGAACTAATCCTAAAATCATAGTCTGCAAATTCACATTGCTATCTTGATACAATTAAGTTAGAAGCACAGTCTGAATGAACAAATATAGTATTCACAAAAGAACATGCTGATGTAATGTACCAGTTACCTTTCTGAGATTGTAGTGATAATGCCATAATTACAGCTGTTTGCAAAGAAAACACTGTGTTAACTGTCCAATGATATGTGAAACCCACTATGACTTGAATTCTATCTGGATTAATAATTTTGAATTGAGTAATTGATATTTATTAGACACCAAATGTGCACTATGAATGATTTTTTTTTCAGTTTAACTGCTTCAAGATTAATTTAAGGGAGTTAAAGTTTATTCCCAGTTCAAAGGCATCTCTTTGTATTCATAAATACAAACATTAAAACTGGAATCCTTCATAATCTCAGCTGTATCACTTAAAATGTGTTCCCAGGCTGATAATGTACTTTGTGTATTTATAGTAACAGAACAAAGCTCAATCAAACAGGCACATTCCAGTGCTAATTGAAGGAGTGCAAATTTAGGACAGCTTTGATTTTCAGTATTAATCTACTTCAATTCAAAGTTTATTAATCTAAAAAGTCAAAACTCATTAAAATAAGAACTGTTAATTGTTAAAGATTAAAGTTTACATCACTATACTGTCCCTATCAGTTGAAGCATTCATTTATTTGTAATAATGCTTGCCCATGTTTTTTTTCACTTTTAAGGAAACTATTAATGATAGAAGTCCATCCGACATACATGGCCAGCTAGCAGCAGTGTTAATACTGGCACACCCAAATACTAACACAGTAGGAAGTGCATGTGATGTGCACCAGATGATATTGGCTTAACAGAGGAATTATAAATTCCCGCTGGGGACCTGGAGGGGTTGGCCGGCAGACTGGGGCCCAATGCGGTTAGCCTGTCATAGCTCAGCAGTGTGGGGACAGTGAGATTAAGTGTGGAAAGCTCTCAGTGTGGGCAGACTGCAGGTTATAGAAGGACTGTAATGTTTATCTTTTATTTCTTTATTTTCCTAATTTATACTATGAAGAACTGTAATGTAGAATGTGTAGTTTTTCTCTATTTCTCTATTTTTGAACTTAATCTATTTTAGTACCTAAGGTTTGTACCTCGGTACTTTGCACCTAAAATAGCGCCGTGTGTGGCAACATTGTACACATTCCACTGTACTCCTGTACTTTGTAGTTGAGTACACGTGGCAATAAACTTAATTCTAATTCTATTTCTAAAAATGTTACTGCAGGCACCGCGATATTGCATCCTGGAGCACATAGTGGGTCATTTGCATCCAAAGCAGATGCCAGTTAGCAAGCATTTGCTATACGCATTATTCCTTATCATGTGAAAGCCAAAGGCACATTCTCTTATTACAGATTGACCAATTATTTGGAAGGAAGAAAATTTGTCCAGATAGTCCCTTTGCATATTCTTGCAGTATTCCCCTTGTTGCTCAACTGAGACAACATCGCAAAGATTGGTTAGAGGAAGCACAAAACCAAGGGGAGCTAGGGAAATACAACCATTTCAAATGACAACTTACAGCAACCACACCAAAACTTTACCTGATTTGGCAAAGAAATTGATAAGTGCATCTGTCTCGCAGCTCTTGTACAAATCAGCATGCTGAGAACTGCAGTTCAGAGCCAGGTTATGGATACGCAGGCGTCTGTGACCAGCCACATTAGTATACAGCAAGGCACACTGCAAAATATAAAACAAAAGCACATGATATGGATCACTTGGGTTTCTGATTTATAAACTATAATATCAAAATCATTCGTCACATCTCAATTCCTTTTCCATATATGAGAAAGTATATTGTATTAATGCAAAAAACGCTTCATAATTCAGAAAGAAAACTAATAAAATTATGATGTTTTTGCTCAGTAATATCTGACAAAGAAATAATCAAATGAACTCGTGAGGGTAAACTTTATGAACGTGCATGCCTGACATGGAGTTTCATGTGCAGTCCTTATAAATTGGACACTTAGAGGAATACAGACATTTCACCAATCAAAGATACTGGACAAGATTGCTAGCTTCCTGACACATCTTCAATTCTTCCATTGTGCAGCTATATATCAGGAGTGCAAATTTATACTGCTTTCTCTTTAGTAGTTACAATTGCATTCAGTAACATGACTGTCTACATATAGTCACTTACTGTCAAAATACTCCTCCTCCTATAACAATTCCATGTTATTCATGCTGTCGTGTTCCCTGCTAATGCTAGTATACAGTAACTTATTTGTTTATGCATTATTTAAATAATTATCAATCAGTTCCATTTTGAGTTGGTCAAGAGGTCGTTTAGTAAACATGATATTTTCACTTTTTGTGAAAAAATGGCTACAAATCTGAAAGAAAAGCATAATAGAAGCACGCTCTAAATCTTCTTGAGTTTTTGTTTAATAAGCATCACTTTAGAACACAGAACATAGAACAGTACAGGCAGTTCGGCCCATGATGTTGTGCCGAACTTTTACCCTAATCCTAAGGTCTACCTGACCTCCACCCCTACCTTATACTATCATCCATATGCCTATCTAATAGCTCTAAAAAGTTTTGTATTTTCAATCTTCCATCATGCTGTCTGTCCTGAACTCTTCAAGTCTTCTATAACTCTATTGGTTCAGAGCTAAGTTGGCATCTGAACACAATACTAACATTGTTATGTCAAAATGGTGAGTTTAGTTTCTACAGAAATTGGAGCGTCATTGGATAAACTATTTGCATATTTTTGATAGTTGAACTATCAACCTTGAGTAGATATATACACTGTGTGGTTAGAAAGAGTTCCAGGACTTTGCCTCAGTGACGGTGAGGGAACATTTAGTTCCAAGCCAGGATGGTACACAACCTATGGGGACTTACAGATGTGGTGCTTCTACATATCTGCTGACCTTCGTCGCCTAAATGGTAGAAGATATGGAAGGTGTTTGGAAGGTGTTGTCCAAGGCATAAGATGTAATAATGCATTTTTAGATGGTACTCAATGCTGCCACTGTGCACCAGTGGCGTTGGGAATCAATGTTTGTTTAAGGTACTGGATGGGATGCTGTTCAAAGAATCTGCTTTGTCCTGGATGGTATTGTTCTTCTTGAATGTTGTTGTAGTTGCACTGCACCAGGCAAGTGGAGAGTATTTCATCATACTCCTGGCTTGTGCCTTGTTGATGGTGGACTGGCACTGGAGAAACAGGAAGTGATTTTATATGTTTGATTGCTAATGGTGAAATTTTCTGCGGTTTGCATCATTCTTCATTTGAGCATTATGGTATTGGCCACCAGTGCTGGTACATGTACTGGGCTAGGGGTGCTGGACGTATTTGCTGGTACCAATCCTTCTTTGTCTATACTGTGTCTAGCGGCTATATAATTACCAGTGGTGGAAGAAACACCACAGCAGAGTCTTTACAGAAAAGACACTGGGTTTGATTAATGAGATGGTTTGTTGCACAATAGCTATAATTATGATATTACTAATTAGGCCTAATTACTAGGATGCTTGGGAATAGTACAGAATACAGCTACTCCTTTATGAAAGCCAGTGTAGAACTCCTTGTCGCTACTGAAAGACTGTCTGATCATCAGGTTAGGTGGAGCTAATGCAACTTTAACTGTTTCAGAACCATTGCCTCATACAACAAGCATCTTGGCTATGTTCACTGCCATAACAGAATAATCAATATCGAAAACCTACCATCCATAACCAAGGGGACAAAAGTCTGAAGGAAGGACGGACAAGCAGAAAGAAAAAGAACCTGCATTATATGCATTGTTTTTCTTGACCTCAAGATGTCACAAGGCTCATCATTGTTAAAGAATTATTTTTGAATGCTGATAAATGTGGCAACCAATTTATACACAGCAAGATAAATGACCAATTGAAGTGTTTTTGGAGTTGGTGGAGAAATAGTTGTTGGGCAGGACACAGAGAACTCTGTTGCTCATTGTGTCCTGCCATTCAATGTCACTACCTGTCTTTTACTGTACTATTCCTGTCCACAACTAACTTATCTGGATATGACTTACCTGAATTGACTGTCATTTGCTAACACAATCCTGCCAATATTAAGTCCTAGAAATTCTTTTTATATTGTGTGAAGAGTTCAAGTAATGCTGGTATGTTGGTGCAGTGTACCTGGATTAAGGCTCCATTCTCTTCACTGAGTTTATCATCATGTTTGAATTCTACTGTGATTGCCTTATCACAGTCAATGGCTGCCACTTCCACATCTGTTGTGTTGTTCATATACATGGAACCCAAGAAGTCAGTCGCCCTGAAGCCTAGATAAATAAAATGTTTTTAAAAAATAATACACAGAATTCAGGGAACATAATAAGTATGCTAAGAAAGAGATGTGCCTATGACAGATTTTCTCATCTGTAGAAGACAGAGGTTCAATACATTATAAAACATTGCATGGACATTTACTGTGGGAGATTATAAAATATTACCATTTTGAAAAAAAGCCTCATGAAGACTTCGTTCAGTCTAGCATCAACATTTCTTGATGTTTAAAAATGGGCAAATTTTCTGTTCTGGAAATTGTTTATTTTATAGAAATCCAAGTACAACAATTTTTTTATTGCAGAGAAATCCATTAAGCTTCAGAAAATTGTGTGAAGGTAATTTTGTTTTTTAAAATCACTCTTGTTTCATAGTAACCTTTTATTTAAATTGAGGCTAATTATTGTAGCCAATCTTCTCTCAGGTACAATGAAACAAAATCAGGTTAAAGTCCTCTGTTGCAATAAAAGGTCCACATGGTATATTCTTCAAATGTAATTTGATTTTTTTAGATTAATTTGTTTTCAACTGGAAGGGTTTTACATGCCATATTTACTAAATATTTAGAATAATAGAAATGACATCACAGAAAGAAGGAACGTAGCCCATTGTGCCCAGTACCAGCTCTTCATTTGAAACCAGGTACTTCGTAATACATTAATACATTTTCCCAATCTTTTCCCTATACTTCCACTTCTTTTTGTGTAATAGCAATTCAATTCCCTTTAGTTCAGAAAAAATATGTGCTAACATTTTCTTTAAATGCTGCTTGTCACTATCCATGCCTTATAAAATATTCCTGTGTTCTTAATGAAATCCTTCCCTTAAAAATAGGCAGCAGTGTAATGAAACCCATTTGCAAGCCATTCAAATAGATCAGGCAGATGTGCTAATAATGAGTGATACGAGAACTTGAAATGCCTTGTGCCTGCTTCAGAATTGAGGAACAATGGGACATTCTCACAAAAATGAATATTCAACATTAGCCAAGAATTTTTTTTTGTGCAGTACTTGGGATCAATTATGGATTACTAATGGCTTTTGGAACAAAATTAGTGCCTTCTCATTAATTTTTTTAATTCCTAATTTTAGCAGCATGTGAATGCTGTATCCTACAGCAGTCTGCCAAATGGAGCATGGGGCAAATTAGACGCTTCAACAGCATTTAAGCGAATTAAGCTAAAAACAGAAAAAAGGATAATTTCTACAGGAGACAGCTGGCTAAGGGATGTTGCTGCAATATTCCTTTAAAATAGAGACCAACCTGAGTGAGAATTGTCTCCATTTGACCATGTAGAGCAAGTTTTAATTGACAAATGTGAGGAAGAAGGGACATTCTGTGCAGAACATTATACACACTGCCTTTTTTGATGCTGCTGCTCTTTACGTTTGGTATTATCTACAAAATTGGCCACTTTGTACTGCAGTTTTGAATCAAGGAAATTTATCTTAAGTAGAAACAGTTGTTTTCCCACCAGCAAGCCTTACAACATCCCATTCCACTTCTTCCTACGTTGACGTAATCCAGCAAGAACTTTGAACACAGAAAAACATTCTGTTACTGGTCATTGGTCAGACAAGCAGTCGGATAATTTAAACTCAGTGAGAAAATTTGTGGTGAAGTAAAGCTTTTGTCAGCGTATGTGAGAAGAATAGCAAATTCAGATAATACAGCCAAGTGGCAGCATGTAAGTAACAGAAAGAAGGACGTCAAGGACAGATTTCTGGAAGAATACACAGGTAACTGAGTGGGAGTAAGAAGAGAAGCCATTGGAGGTGACCTCTAGCTAAGACTCGATAAATAAGAAGGGAATGGAGTGATTGCAACATAACCCAACTAGACAATGGAGGACAGATAATACATGGCATGGTCCACCATTACCACGGTTGTAAACAGATGAGAAAGAATGAGAAATGATGGTTCACCATAGTTATATTCACATGGAGTAGCATTTATGAATTTGATAAGGACCGCTTCAGGATTTGTGACCAGAGCAGAAACCTGATTGGAAGGACTTAGATATGATATTCTGGGAAAGATGTGCATAGATTTTGGAAGTGAGTGTATACATAAAATAAAGATGAACATTTATATCATGCTTCCACAATCACACATGTTCCTCTCAATTTAGCCTCTTCAACATCCCTGATCTCAAGTACCCAACCTTTAATTCACTTTTTCTAACAGAGTTTGCCAAACATCCTTCAACAGCTCTTTGCAACACACTACATCCACCACCTGGATGGACAAGGAAAAGAGATATGTGGGAACACCATGACCTGAAACATCTGCACCAAGTTACACAACTTTCTGACTTTGAACTATTTCTGCTACTACTTCACTGCCACTGGATTAATATTCTGGAACTGCCTTCCTAACTGCACTGTGGATGAATCACCACCAGACCATTTATGCCCACTGTCTGCTTTCAGTTACCTGACAATCTTTGATCCATGCCAACATGCCAATCCCTACACCATGAGCTACTATTTTCCACAATAACCTTTTGATGTAGCACTTACTCAAATGGCTTCTAGAAATAAATACAGTACATCCACTGATTCCCTTTTATCAACAGCATGTTACTTCCTCAAAGATCTCCAATGGTTAAATATAATGTCCCTTTCACAAAACATAGCTGAATCTGCCTGATTACGTTGAACTAGGCAAGCACCCGGCTTTAATTTTTTTTATTAATAGCTTCCAACATTTTCCCAAAGACACGTGTTACACTTTCAGTAGTTTATTGATTTCCATTTCTTTCCTTTTTTGAATAAGGGACTTACATTTGCTATCCTCCAATCTAATGGAATCTTCCCCAATAAATGGAGTTTGGGGAATTAAAACTAATGCATTCCAGGATGTCACTATCTACTTCTCTTAAGACCTGAGAATCAAGTCCATCAAGACTTGGGCACTTAACAGCTGCAGAGCCAACAACTTACAGAACACCACGTCACTAGTCATTGTAATTTTCCTGAATTTCTCTTCTGTTGTATTTATTGTTGCTTCTGGAATAATACTTATATTGTCTATAATGAAGCCTAACGCAAAATATCTGCTCAATTCATATCTTTGCTTCATAAGTGATATCCTTAGTTTCCACTTTTAGTTTGTCATATTCACTTTCTATAGGACTAACAGTCTCTTTGTTAACTCTTCTTCATTTTAAATATTTCTAGAAACTGTTACTATATGTTTTTATATTTCTGGCTAGCTTTCTCTCGCACTTCAAATTTTTTTTTCCTTTTTTCTAATTTTTGCTGTTTTAATACTCTGTTCAAAATCCTGACCTGTCACCTATTTTGTACAATGGTATGCTTCTTCTCTAGGGATGATTACTATTGTTAACATTTCTAGCTAACCACGGATTGCGGGTGCGTCTCTTAAAATCTTTCTTACTCCTTGGAAGTATTGATATTGTGTATACATACTGAAATATATTCTTAAATATCTGCCACTATATCTCTATTAACTTATCGTTTAACCCAGTTCGCCGATTTATTTTAGTGAGCTCTGTTTTCATGCCCTCTCAATTGTCCTTACATTAATTATAAAAAGTAGTTTCAGACTCATTCCTCTTTCACTCTCTCAAGTTGAATATAAAATTCAATCATATAATGGTTGCTGCTATCTGGCGGGGGCTTCACTATAAAATCATTTGTTAATCTTATCTCAGGATTATACCAGACTATATCAGGTCTAATATAGTCTGCTGTCCAGTTGGCTCCAGAACATGCTCTAAGAAACTATCTAGAGAACATCCATGAAATGTTCATCTAGGCAGCATTTACCCCTCTGATTTTTTTGGTCTACATGTAGATTAAATTTTCCTGTTGTTACTTCCATGCCTTTCTGACTATTACTTGTTCCTTTTAAGCCGTCATCCTATTGAGGTAGAAAAAAATTCTAAAAGGTATAAGAAGGGACCTGGAAAAACATATAGAAGGAAGCAGAGGTTCCAGAGGAGTAGGCAGACAGACCAATGTGTGATTTGATTGAGAAGCCACACTGCCATCTCTAATCTGTCTCTCCCTTCTTAAAAACAATCCTTTAGCAAGTTTCTCATCCATTCTCAATTCCTAAAGCTTTGAGCATAACTTACACCTTTTCATATGTGAATTTGTCAAATGCTTGTTGGAACTTGAGTTATATGTTGCACAGTTTCCAGGTAGGTAGCCACATTCTACAAAAACAGTCCAGGAAACTGTCAGACAAAATTATCCTCAAGCTTTACTGACTCATGTTTAATGTCTTTACTTGAAACAAGGATTATTTGTAAACTAATGGACTGAATGGTTACTCATTCTAGAATGAAAGCAACTTACGGCAGCAGTAAAGATCATGTGACTATGGCAAGCCAGCTTGTACACTATGCATCTCACCAAGTGTCTCTCTTTTCACAAACAACAAAAAAAAATGCATGCACTATGATTTGTAGCTACAAGTTATCCAAGATACATGGTTAACAAAGAAAAATTAACATGCTTGAACAAAACAGTGAAAACCCTATTCAATCCCACTTTCATCAGTCTCTGCATGCTTATTTCTTTACAGTTATGCATTCTTCAATCACTAATTGCCATTTTGGTGAGTTTACATCTCCAGTAAGCTGCTCAATTTACAGGGTTAGTATAGGCACTTTTTCCTTTGTTTATAATTTGTTAGTGAATTATTTTAGATTCATACTTTTTTAATCTAAGGTTAGTGATATTGGGTACATACATGCTCAATATATTCAGCATCCATAATGAAGTTGTCCTATTTGCCCCTTAGTTTTTGTTAACATTCTCCTCTTCTATTGCTTAACATTCCTTAAGTTAATGCTTTACAAGCTAGATACCTGGTTCCGGGCCTTTGCTATATCTGAATCACGGATCATATTAAGCCTGAACAATCTGTGACTACAGATCTTCAGGGAATTATGACTTTAATTTCCTGGATATTATCCAGGTTACTGACAGATACCAAGTAAGCTCTAGCTCTCATAGTTATCTTGCTGCACTTCTGCATGAGACTATCATGCATTAACTTACTGAACCTGATTTTAAACTTGCATTTTTTAATATTTATTTCATTGAGGTTTACCATTCAAATTACTTTCCTATTGCTTGAAAACTGTCTTGTTCCCTACCTGTTAGCCCTTAACATACTCTAATATTATTTTGGACTTTTTTGAACCAGAGATATTTGATCAGTATAGTTTATTTCCACTTTCTTTCCTATCAATGTTATTGTTAGGAAACATTTGATACATTTTAATGTTATACACATTTCCATCTTTTGTGATTTACAATGCCTTTAATAATGCCACAATATAATAATTCCCCACAGCCAAAATAAGCTCCAGTTTCTCAACGGAAACTGTTCTGAAGAAGGGTCACGGGATCTGAAACATTAACTCTGATTTCTCTCCACAGATGCTGCCAGACTTGCTGAGCTTTTCCAGTAATCTCCGTTTTTGTTTCTGATTTCCAGCATCTGCAGTTCTTTTGGTTTTAAAATTTAAGTTCCAGTTTACTAAATCAATATATTTTCCAATATTTTGCTTGGCTCTCAATGTTCCATTGCAATGTAGATGTTTGAAGGTCAAAAGTACATTTGGTTTATTGTCTCTGCACTCACCCTTTGCAATCCTAAGCTAAGCACAAACCTTACCCTCTTCTTCAAGCATTATATTTTCCTCTATTTGCATGTTTATCCAGTTTCCACTTAACATATGTAAAGTTAGCTATTTCAACAATGCCTTGCAGCAAAGAATTCTATGCTCCAACAATCTTCCTTATGAAGAAATTTCACCTGAACATCTCTTCAATTCACTTATGTGATCATTGATGATCCCTAAGCCCACCATTTTGCATGTCAGAGAGATCGCTGGTGGTGAGAATATTGGAAAGAGCCTTGAATCTCAACTTTCATCCCTGAACCTGGCATGTCTCATTTTTCACAGGAGAGGAATTGGGGTAGTCCTTAGATATTGCACCAAAAATCGTGGTCAAAGAGTAAATGGGAAACAACTTCTAGTAAGCCCATATATGCAGTCAAAAAGGAAAAACAGAAGGCTAGCTGACTATTTCAGAATCTCACCAGATACAGCATTCAATATACAAAATGACTTCCATGAAATGGTGGCATCAATTATTCTAATTTTATAGATAAATGCAATTATAGACAGTTTTTATGCCCATTATATGATCGATTTCTGATGATGCTGACAAACACAACATGGTGCTCAACATGACTGAATTCCTCATAGAGCTTTCTAGCCCTTGTTGTACTTTGGAATTGTAGCTACTGTCCTACCATAGGGAAAGCAGCAGTAATTACAGCAAACATACACAAGCAGGTATGAAATAATGAACAGATAATTTGTTTTTGTAGCTTTGATTAAATTTTGGCTGAGACACTAGAATAACTCCCCTGCTCTTCTTCGATGAAGTGCCACAGGATTTTTAACCACTTGAGCATTGAGCGTCTCAGTTTGACATCTCATCCAAAAGTACCACCTCTAATAGATCAGTATACTTTTCACACTGTGCTGGACTGCTAACATTTTAGTGCTCAAGATTTGGTGGGACTTGAACAAGGAACATTTAAGACTCAGACGTAAGAATGTTACTGACTGAGCCACTGCTGACACTTCCACATGACTCCCACAGGACAGAATATTGTACTTTTCTTCTAAATGTGGTCTCGGAAACTGGATAGTCCACTGGACCCTGTGCCTGTCAGAGACCCGAGACGTCACCTAGTGAGCTTCCAGCTGGATCACTTCCTGGGACAGCAATGCCCATCTCCGCTGTCCCCCCTACCCCCGAAGTAACTGGGCAAGTAGCATGGATGTTCAGTCTTGTTGGAGTTGTAACATTTTGTTTTTACATGAATATTCATTGTCATACAATGCAGTCTCACCTGTGTTTGTCCTCACTCTCATTATAGCATCAAATCCTATTGGCTTCTGTATATCTTTTCTTAGGTCATTCAAGAAATGTTCAGCATCAGTCTGTATCTGAACAAAGAACAACGGTACAAGGAAAAGCATGAGCTGTACTGTTGAGACCAGTTGATGGCACTATGGTTACTAATCGCAGCACTGCTTGACTTGTAGGAATAAATACCAAGAAACAAATTTAAATTTACAGAGCAGAATTTTATGTGCCCTACATGTGGGATGATCAGAAGGAGAGCCCATAAATTCCTTGATGGCCTTCCCACCATCCTGCTGACCAGGCTGTTACCTCTCTGTAATTTTACATTGGGCTGGATAGACGTGCCTGCCTGCCTTTTCCCCTTTGAGATCATTAAGGTGCCAATTAAAGGCCACTTAAGGGCTGTTTCCCACCCATCCTCAACTTCCCAGGCTGGCAGGAGCAGGTGGAAAAACAGTTGGGTTGGATGCTGTTGGGGGTGGAGGAGGAAACCTCCATCGACAGCCTTCTTTTATCATTCCAAGCCCAGCCCACACAAGGTGAAGATCTGTGGCCACTCCATTTACCCCCCACCCTCTTCTTCAACTCCACCAGCTCTCTGCCCCAACCCTGTGAGACCCTGGGCTTTACTTCCCCTCCCTGCTGTGGGATCCTTAAACTCATTTGTTCCTACACTCAGGGATTTAGACTCTAGCGAGTGCATGCAGATGTGGTGGAACTTACCTTGAATGAAGGTGGAAGACCTATCTCCATCTAATTAATTTTTGTTGTCACAGTAAATGGCTGTTTGGCAGCCAGTATCGGTGAGGATGCACTCACTGTCAACTACTCAGAAGGTAGGAAGCAAAATCTACTTCCTAAAAATCCTGATGATAATAGACTACTGTTATGTTGAAAAATTGATATTATATCACCTTTAAATCAATGGCTTTGTTTTATGTCTCAAATTATAATATATTTGGTGATTTTCGAATTGAATCAGATGTTGATTTTCAAATTACCATTGATAAATACCTCTACATTAACATCCTGACAAGAAATTTATTTGGACTAGGTATATAAATATTGTGGCAGCAAGAGTAGGTCAGAGGCTGAGAATTCTGCAGCGGGTAATTCATTTCCTGACTCCCCAAAGTCTTTTTGCATCGAAAGACACACTTACTTGAATAAACCCAACTCCAGTAATACACAAAAATCTCCACATTATCCAGGAAAAGACAGGTTGGTGCCTCATCTGTCCACTGTTGCACCACAATTGCATTTTAAAGAATCTGCAAGATGCACTGTGACAATGCATCAATGTTTCTTCAACTGAACATTTCAAACTCCCATTTCCACAGCCTAGACAAACAGCAGTGGCAGTCACATGAGAACACCACCACACACCAACCTAATGGCAATGGTTGCTATTCTTTATTATTAATGGATCAAAATCTTGGAATTTCCTTCGTAAAAACTCTGTGGATGTATCTACACCAGTTCAAACAGGCAGCTTGTTCCTTACAGGCAATTAGGGATGTTGGTCTAGCCAACAACATCCACACCCATGCACAAATACTATCAGATAGTAATGAGTAGGATTTTGCTTAATTCTAAAATCAGAAGCTGTACGTGTCACTCTCCTGGTATGAATATTTCTGGAACAGGGCAACTGGGGTGGGCAATAAATGCCAGTGATGTGCATGTCCAGTGAGTGAATTAAAAAAAAGTTTCTCTTTTTTCTGAGAAGTTTCATAACAGCAAATTAGCTTGAGAAATTCACCGGCAAAAACTGAAAAGCTATTATTTACACACTTCAATATTGTGCATTGTTTGGCTCTGGTATAGTCCCAGACTCTACTCTAATCTGCAATTTACAATCTTTCTCATTCACTCTAAGGACAAGAAGTGGTTTAATGGATGAGGTGAATCAGAATTCAAGCAGAAAATCAAGTTAAAATACCAAGAACATTGAGCAAAAATTTACCTGAAAATTACTGTACTTGTACAAACTACCACCAGTAGACATTGGCACAATCCCCATGGTTGCAACATCCACATACTGGTTTGGAAACAGAAAGACATCCACACAGCAGCTATTGGCTACACAGTCCTTTGCCAAGGTCTCGTAGAAATTTGACTGTGGTTGAAAAAGAACCTGTAGGAATATAAGTGAAAGTATCCTTTAACTCTATTGTCTCTTTATTTTGAGGAAAGGTCTTTTGAATGCTTCTGACTGAAGTAAATAAAGATTGCAGATGTATTGTTCAGACCATAGTGTAGAGAAGCTGACCAATTATCAGCATGTATTTTTCCACCAATTATACCTTTTCTTTGTCTGTGTTCACTAGCTTCCTGTCATCTCTGTTTTTCAATTTGCCCGGTGCTTCAGCTGTTGGCAGGGATGAGTGGAATATAAATAGCTTCCCAGAACATTCTGCGGCCTGTTGTAAAAAAAAACAAAAGTACTTTGTATACCTGGCATTGAACTGTTTGTTGTAGTGTTTATTGCAGAATATTATTCACAATTGTCTGCATCCTCTGTATCTTTCTTTAGACATTCCACAAGAAAGAATGAGTACCTGAGCCTTACAGAAAAGAAACAGCCCATATTAAATTCAAATTTTGTTCAATTCATCTGTGTTAGTGGCAGGAACATAATTGCACTACACAAAGAAATGGGGAAAAAAATTGGTCTAAATTGTCACGACTGTTTGTAATTCAGAAATAAGAAAAAGTGCTGGAAGTACTCAGCCGGTCAGGCAGTATTCTTGGACCGAGAAACAATGTTAATGTTAAAAATGATGACCTTTAGTCACAACTGGAAAAAAATTAGATTGTAACAAGTTTTTAACACATACAGAAGCAAGGGAATGGGGAGTTTAAGGAAAGAACGAAAGGGCAGATCTATGACCTTTTCTTCCTTCATGTTTGTGGGATCTAACATTTTTCAGTTCTGATGAAAGATCATCAACTAAAATGTTAATTCCATTTCATTCCACACAGATGCTGCTTCATCTGGGTATTTCCACACTTCCCATTTTGTAATTTCAGCTTCAGCAAAATTTTCCCTTGGTATAATTCACACAAACTAGCTGGAAGCCTGTCTGTGATAGCCACATGTTTGGCTGTAATCAATTGCCATGGTTTACCTGCACTCACAATTTTCTCTCATAGGTATCCCCCTTGGACAATGTATCACAGTACAATCTGTTCCTACGCCCTAGAATGGAGTCAAAGGGTTGAATTTAATGTCCGCCAGGGGTGAATCAGATTGTTGGAATGGTGTGTGGTGGAGATCCCATTGTCTACTGTCACTCCCTCCAATTAAAGCTGGGCTGGAAAGGTTTGTGGGTTGCCTTTCTGCTGGAGCCCAAATGAGGCCCTTAAATGGCAGCCCTCATCCCATTTCTCCTGGCATTTAATCAGCAGTGAGCAGGCGGATCATCTAGAGTTGCCATCCAGTATATTCCATGCCATCATAGTGGGGGTTTCCTTTCTTCTCAGGTACTCTGTGACTGATTGCTGGACCCAGCAATGGGAAGCGGGTATCTGCAGGAAGCTACGTCGATTGTCCTTGCGGTCAAACTCCTTCCTCACTCCAATACCCCAGTTGTAGCCCCGTCAATGAGAACCCCATTTGCTCCACTTATCTGTCTCCATAAGGTCTGCTGGATCCACTGTATAACAGGTCATGGCTGACGTTCCTGGTGATATTACTGGGGCTCTCAAAGGTGTGATATTCGCCACAGACAATGTAACAACTAAAATGACCCTGGTGGAAGCAGAGGTCCTGGACCCATGGTTCCCCTGTCAGTTACAATGTCTTTCTGTTGTGTTCTTAGGGATCAGATTGATGGCATTACCACCAAATTTTGCATGGGATTTTGTAGCCTACATTAAATCTGGTCCAGGGTCTTTTGGCAAGAAGAGAATATTGGCAGGAAAACAATTATTTTATTCAAGATTGAAGTACATAATCAAGGAATATTAGTTTTGTTATCTTCGAACAAGTTGCATTTAACCATTCTTGCATGTGAACAGGATTCAAAATTAACATTGAATTGCATGTCACAAAGTATTTTATTCTAAGAGTTGTCATCTTCTGGGAAAAGTACTTGGTAGATATGCTTTTTTAAGGATACAAGCTGGAGAGTGGGGAGATATTGTGGCATATTGGGGAAGTAGCATTTCAATGGCAATGAAATCTGACAGGTATTTCCCAGATTTTATCTTGAAATTGGCCATTGCGTTTCTTTTCTCTGCTTGTACTCACTGTAAATATCTACTCTCTATTTGTAGATAAGAAAAATTGTTACTATCTATCTATACAGCCAATAGTTGCACCCCTTTAAAAAAACATATCTCCTCTAAGACACAGGACCTCAAAGTGGATAAGCTAATTCTCTATGCCTGTAAGAGATTTACTTTTAGGCATAATCTTTGTTGCTTTTCTCTGTGCTTTCTTTACAGCCTCAGTGTCAACACATATAGGAATAAAACGTACAGCACTGCTAGACATGGTTGGATTGCACTCTATTGCTGTCAAGGAATCCTGTTTTCTGGAACTGTATACCAGACAACCAGGTACAGAGGTCAATTAGCTACACAGTTGCTCTCCTATTTTACCAACCATGAAAATTAATAGCCAGAAGACCAGAAGTAATATAAATCAGTTGTGCTGACCTATGTGCCCAACTTGTGATCCAACTGACTGAGGTACCACATTGGAAGCAATGTGGTTTCCTTACTTCAAGGCTGATTAGAACAAATTGTTGTCACTTATTCCTGTGCATACACTAGAGGGCTTAGATCCAGTTTGATGTGTTTAAATTATTCTTATAATTCTGCCCTCCAAACCCCACATAGAATTGGTCTTGGTCAAATTAACAAACTAACAACAAGCATTTGGCTTCTGTTTGAACATTCATTCAATGTTATGGCAACAAGTGATAATCTTTTACCCGCATATGTCATGTGAGATGCCAATTCTGTATTTTGAACCTGAATATGGATCTTTGTTGCACAGAGCACTGGGCCCAGTGAGACACATGAGTGTGTTAGCTTCAATCACTGCCCAAATCTGGCAGGCGATAAGTTGAATAATTATCATGTGCCTGATATCAGCAGTACGAGGTTTGAACCACTGCTGAATTTGAGCCTCTGTTACCTAAAAATACAGAAAACTAATTAGTACCAGTTTTGTGCTGCCTTGTTTGGCAACATGAACTGGGCAAGGGGCAGCAGAAAATTGCCTGCATTAACTTCAGCAATACTCACAAAGCTGTAAACAATTAACTGTGTGCAGATCTGAAACATTTCAAAAAAGGGTTAATTCTAATCGAGTTACAAAAAAAAGTAATTGTGTTCTTTCATTTTAAATTCCAGCTGTGCACATCTGAGCCCTCAGCCAAAACGTTAGAAAGGCTTAGCTGCTGTCATTAAAATAAACTGAGAATCAGTGACGAACAAGAAAGGCTGTCTTTTGGGAACAAAGAAAATAGAAATTGAACCCATCCACTTACTTTAAAAGATTACTGGTTTGCATTTGTCTTCAGAGAGTTAGCACTGCCCACATTAATAAGGCAGTTGTTAATGGTTATTGTGTCTATAAGTTTTAGGGAGTAATGGCACAATATACTCCCTTTTAATTTTCACAAAAGAGTCCTTACTTTGAGATTAAGGACAGATATTTCTATACCATATGAGAAACCATAAAATGGCTGTTCAATAAATCCCATGGGACAAAGTAAAAATAAACAAGCTCTTTGGTCAAGTGGTACTACGTTTAGAGATAAGCTGACATTCTCTGTGTTTAGAAGGCTGACAGAAAATGTCTGAGATAACTCAATGTACTTTTAATTAGTAGTCTTTTGCGACTGTATTTTTCTTATATTGAATAAGTGATAATGCAGAAATCTACTGGCCCCTGCAGTGATGGAATCTGGCATAAAATAAAGCTAATGAAGTTCTCGCAGGATTGAAATAGCTATGCACATCATTGTCGTGTGTGTGTGAATACGTGCGTGTGTGTCAATTGAGTGAATTCTGGAGTAGACTACCTTTATCGACAAACTGGTAACACTGTTGGGAACACAGGAACAGGAGTAGGCCATTCAATCAATTGACTAATCGAGCACTTCAAAACCTTTTACGCACACTATCTCCATAACCCTTTATGCCATTGGTAATCAGAAATCTATTGATTTCTACTTTAAACATACCCAAGGACTGAGCTTCCATAGTCTTCTGGTATAAAGAACTACAAAGATTCAAACCCTGCAAGTAGAAGTGCTTCTCCTCATCTCAGACTTAAACAGCATTCCCTCTTTTTTTTAAATTATGTTCCCTGGTTCTAGACTTCTGAACCAGCAGAAATGTTATACTTGCATCTATTGTGAGTTTCCCTTTAAGCATTTTACACCTTTCAATGAGATCACCTCTCATTCTTGGAAACTCAAGAGAATACAGTTTGCACAATCTCACTCATGGGATAGTCCCACCATCCCAGGAACAAGTCTGGTGAACCTTTATCGATCTCCCTTTGTGACAATAATATATCATTAAATAAGGAGACCAAAACTGCACACAGTATTCAGGTGCCATCGAACAAAGTTTCTATACAACTGAAATAAAATGCCACTAGTCCGGTACTCAAATCCTCTTGCAACAACGGCTAACATTCCAGAAGCCTTCCTAATAGCTTGCTGCATCAGCTTGCTAGCCTTCAGTGACTTATTGACAAGGATTGCAAGGTTCTTTTGAACATTTACATTATCCAAATTCTTCCCATGTAAAAAAACACATCTGTTCCTCCTACAAAGTGGATAACCTCACATTTTTCCACATTATATTCCATCTGCCAAATTCTTGCCCAGTCACCAAGTCCATTCAAATCCTCCTGAAACCACTTTACGTCCCCCTCATGTCACACATTTCTGCTTACCTTTCTATCATCCACAAATTTGGAAATATTATATTTGAACTTCACACACACAGCACTGACAGACATTGTGAATAGTGGTGGTCCAAGTTCTGATCCTTGTGGGTAGCCCACTCATCATAGCCTGTCAATGTGATAATGACCCGTTTATTCCTATTCTGTTTTCTACAGGTTAGTCAATCATTAAGCTATGCCAGCATATCACCTCCTGTCACTTGTGCTTTAATTTTGCCAACCTCCTGCATAGGTCCTTATCGAAATTCTTCTGAAAATCTGGGTATACTACTTCCACCAACTCCCCTTTATCAATTTTGTTAGTAACATCTTTAAAAATCTCAAAGTTCGTCAAAATACAATTTCTCATTTGAAAATCCATGCTGATTATGCCCAATCAGATCACTATTATCCAACTGTCCATTTATCATATCACAATAACTGTATTTTGAATTGAGGAAAATGCAGCAAAAAATCATTTTAAAGCAAGGGTGATGTCTTACTGTCAATATTTGTAATTTTAATTTTATTCAGGGTGTAAATGGCAAAGACAAACTTTTTTAAAATTACATTTATTTTACCTTTCCTCATAAATATCAATGCAGTAGGGCCAAGAAAAACATGCAATGATTTTGATTTACAATTTATGTTTCAAATATTCTGCCAGATTAATCGGCATAATGCCTAACACATCAGCAGTAACTGAAGTTGGAACAATTGGCTTCTGTGAGTCAATAAGAAGACAATCTATTCTGTGCCAGATATTCTAATTGTGACTCAGACAGATCTAATCTAATTAGCAATGTGACACTTCAACCTTCAGATCCTGGATTTTTGGCTGGAATGCGGTTCTCACCTCCAAATGGAAGGATCAATTGTAACTCCATCCACTCAGTGGAAACCAGGGGCTGGGTGGCTGGGTGTTTTCTTAAAATTGGCCAGGTGACTTACCCTCTGACTTTGCTCACTGGACCGTCAATTCTAATCTTATCTTCTGAGCAGACAACTGAGCTGTCTCTCCGTACTAGACTTATTGGTGTGTCCGGTGTTCAACCACTACCTCCTCCATAATAGTCCAGGGAAGTCATGGGAACTGGGCTGAAAGATGGAGACACTCGACCATTAGTCCTGGGCCCATGCCTCCACCCTCCTGTCACTTGCATAGGATGCACTGGGAAGGTGCAACCACTGTGTCCCTTGTGGCGATTGGATGTAAACTCTGGTCAGGGCAGTGAGGTCGACAGGTTGGGTTTACACTCACTCCATGTACTGTCCATCAATTTAAGGTAGAATTGAAGAGGATAATCCATACTCTAAATGGATTGTAAAGAGGCATGACCTTAGTTTTGTTTAGATTGATGATTGTTAGTAAATTATGATTATGCTTTATGATTTTGCTCATTGGAATGATCTTAAACAGCATCACATAGAAGCAAAATGAACAAAGTAATTCTTTAAGTTTAGGCCTTTTTTTCATTCAACATCAGCCAAACAGACTAATCACAAAGGAAAACATCGAACCTTCACAGCTTCGAGACCAGCCTGGATAACTGGAGCAAAGACAGTTTCACTCTCACTGGTGTCACCAAACATTTCAGGGATCTGGTCCAGTAGGCTTTGGAAATAAAACAAATTTAAGACAAACATTTAATGGTTTGATTTACATTTCCCCTTTTCACTCCATGCTTCTCCCAACCCACCCAACCAAATTTCAGCCAAAAATCCACATCATTGAAGTGGAAATGATCTCACTGGCGAATTTACAGACAGGTTCCATTGTAGTAAGAATTAGGTACACCTTCAATACAGGGTGGAGCTGGAGGAACACAATAGGTCAGGTAGCATCAGAGGAGCAGGAAAGTCGACGTTTCGGGTTTACATCCTTCATCAGTACACCTTGCCTTGAACATTCGCCAGTCTTGCTGCCATGTTGCCCCAACAGGAGCAGTTGTGTAATACACCTAGGTTATCCTAGCATACTTTGACCATCGCTTCAACTTGCCTCACAGGTTGGGGGTTGAGGGGAGGGGGTGGAAATGCCGTACTCATTTAGAACATTGGATTAGAATGTAACTCCTTCCTTAATATTCTGGGCTCCGAATATATATTAGATTCCAATCAAAGGACTGCAAAGTGTAAGGCAACCCTGCACTGTTCCTATTTTGTTCTTCTCCTTTACAATGTGATCCAAAACTTCCAAAAAATGGCAAAGACCTTTTTCTGACAACCAGAATTACACTGGATGACTACAGAAGTCTCAACAGGATTCAGGGGCATGTGTGTTCAAGTTCTGTATCACGTTCAGCTCAAATCACAATATTCTGAATAGAATCATGATGTTCGCCAACTGAGCCAAGATTTCACTCTCTGCTCATGAGGTGTGTAATTATGTAAATAAATCACAGCTGCTCATTTAAAACGTTTTGTGTTGCATATCTGGAACACAGTTCTATACGTGTATATGGAGAAAGTAGCTGAAAGAAAATGGCCAATTTTCTGCAAACAAGGGTTGGCTTGTAGGACGTTCTGGGAGATAACTAATGATTTTTAAATTTTTCAAAGGGATGATAGTCATGGGCTGTTTCTCTACAATTTTTAGTAATGTTCTCCCTGTGGGTTAGTATCATGCCGTGGGATCAGCCCAAGACTATTGTTAGGGACATAGGCCCAAATCCTGGGTGGACTAGTAATCACCATCAGATTGCCAGCCCGTTTCTATTTTTCTAACTCACACAGGAGCTGTGCATTTCTCTCCAGGATGTCCAAACTAGGCTTCTTGGGAAATGGAGAAAGTAGCCATTTTGGAAGTACACTTGCAGTATAAGATTATCAGGAGAATCCAAGCCACCCCATTTTTATGACATTCATGGCTGTATTCCAGGATTTGAATATTCCAAAGACATTTTGACTAGTTACAGAGAGGTACCAGGTACCTAAAGTGTGGATAGGCTGGTAGGTGGGTGAAGAGGTAGTGTGGCTTGGCCTGATAGTCAGGTCAGGGTGGTGACTGGTTTGAGGAGTCTGGAGTGGGTTGGGTTTGGGTGTACGTCGGGTGGGTCAATGTGATTCAGTGGGGGCCTATGGGGCAGCACGATGGCACAGTGGCTAGCGTTGCTACCTCACAGCACCAGGGACCCAGATTTGATTCCAACCTCGGGTGACTATCTGTTCAGAGTTTGCACATTCTCCCTGTGTCTGTGTGGGTTTCCTCCAGGTGCTTTGGTTTCCTCTCACAGTCCAAAGATGTGCAGATTGGGGATTGACATGCTAAATTGCCAATAGGGTCTAGGGATGTGTAGGTTAGCCATGGGAAGTGCAAGGTTATAGGATAGGATAGTGGGGTGGGTCTAGGTGGGATGCTGTTCGGAGGGTCGATAGGAATTGGATAGACCAAATGGCCTGCTTCCACACTATAGGGATTCTATAAGTTACTAAGAGTTTGAGCAGGTTTTAACCCTACAAATTGTCTTCAGTAACTGTCCAGGTAAATAAGTTAGAACCCTTTGAAGCTTCTGACTCTAATTTAAGAAGCCAGAAACATATTCAGTGGGTTCCATACATCGGGTAATCATCTATTGGTCGGTTAAACTGCCCATTCAAGTTCTGGGTAGTCCCTGCGTCGGGACTTCCAAGGGATCTGAGAGTGCATTTTTCAGTGTAGGTTACTATAAGATCTGTCTTCCAATCAGAAAATCAGGCCATAAAATTTATGTTGCTTTAGGAATTGTGTATAATTGGCAAAATGTGATACGCCATTTAAATTTTTCAGACTGCCTGTTGAGTTTTTACGTAATCCCTTCTTCTCTAAGAGTCATACATTTTAGCACTAAAGGAGATTATGGGATTGACAATTCTACTAAATTCCTACTGTAACTCTGGCAAGAACCCAGTAAGATCGTAACAAAATTGTTATCTTTCTCACACCAGTGATTTGAAAATAATGGACAATAGAGGATAAAAAGTGTGAAGCAGCCAATATATATTGAAAAATAACCAGTACATTCTGTGTTTTACATTTATTCATTTCATGATGAACATAATAAGTGCCTTGTAAAATTTGTCTTGATTTTTTAAAGTATTCGCAGATGCAAGACATCACCTTGCAGTTAATTTATTTGCTGGTCTGTCTTTCACTGGCTATGTTAATCTATTTGTTTGGATTGTCAAAGGCCTTTGGAATTGTGTCATTTCAAAGAATTTATAGAGAGTATTGATGGAACAGTATTTATGCGTAATGAACTAGTCATTAAACTTAGCAGAATCAAAACAAAAACAAAAATCATTAGTTTTTTTATTTTTCATTTTGGCTATATGATTTGCTCAATGTCATGTAAAACTACCTTTTCTTTTGGAAAAAGAAGTTCAAAAAGTAATCCAATCATAAAGTAAAACTGAATATGAGCCTACATTTATTTGGTTCTATGAGTAAATAAAGAGATTAACTAAGTTCCATTTTTTATTGTTGCAAAAAGTTTACACAATGGGCCAAAAATGCTACAGTGGTTTGCTTCTGTTGGAACGTTTTCCTGGGAGATCAGCAGAATCCCTAGAAAAACAACTTACTGGCTGGGGAGAAGAGATTTATGTGGGTGTACTGCAGAGTTTTGCTGCTCTCCAAAGTAACAGCAGCAGACCACTGCTGAACCAGAATAGTTTTAGAAAATGAATCACAACAAGCAGTCATATTGGCGTTAGTTTTCTGACAAAGAACAAATGTAAAGCCATCTCTAGCAGTCAAAATACCAAGTTCTAGCAGAACAGAGTGCCAATTATTATTTACAATGGTGCTCTTGGGACGTCACAATTTGTTTGTGGAGTTGCAAACGCACAGCAAAACCTTTTTATACCTTTTCAAATTCAGACATGATTTTATTGCAATTTCTATTAACATTCATCAGGTTCTAATGGTTTCAGTTTATCCTTACTTGTTGATGACAGGTCGAGATTCCTGGACATTCACAAGGAAGCCATCCAGAAGAGGAACAAACATCTCTCCAACATCTGACACCACCAACATTTGTGGCTGGGCGAGGCTACTCTTCAGATTGTAGAAGTGGAGAACCTTGTTGTAAGTGACAAAGCCAACTCTAATGGCAGAGATCTCCGCGTGATCTTCCCTGTAAAATTATTTGGATGTGAAAGGGGCGAATGATAATAGTTATTAAATAAAAAGGTCAACTATCAACAGGATGAATTCTTGAAGGATTTTACAAGCTTTGTATTGCTACTTTATGAAGCAAACCTGTAAAGATTAAACTTACTTCGGTCATACCATGATGTTGACAATCCAGAATATCAATTAAGGGGAGCAGTAAAAACAGCAATATCTGCAACAACAACATGAATTTATATATTGCCTGAATGGCAGCAAAATGTCCAAAGGTGCCTAGCTACCAGCAATGAAACAGGGAGCAGCATTGGCAGATTTATGAGTTTCTATTGAGAAATAGAATGAATATCAATTTGACCTAAAATATATATTCAAATGCAAGAGGGAATTGTGGCAGAATCTGTTGAGTTTGAGAGTTTGTCAATCATCTGAATTAATCATAGAAATAACAGGTGCAATAATTTGCGATTTTTAATATCTTCAACAAAAGAAAAATGCTCCAACATTCCTCACAGATTCAAAGCAAACAAAGTGGATGCCAAACAAGAGAAGAAGATAATAAGAAGGCTAACCTATAGACAGATCAAGGAGACATTTCCAACTTGGCAAACTTGCCTCTATTAAGGAGACATCCAAATCACCATACTTCCAATCCACAGAGGTGTGGGTTGGTATAGAGATAGTCATGCCATTTCCAGACGCAGATCTGAGGCAGCAAAGGAGGTAAGGCCCGCAGATCCCTCTCTATTACTGGGATATCAGCCTAATCGTAACCAAGGCCTTCAAGCCTGTTGTTCAAATATGACCAATCCACCAACCTGCCTTGACTCATCTATAAACCTTCATGTTTTCCATGTTCATCCATGCCCCCTCAGCCAAAATACAATATGAGGCCAACCAGAAACCCGAGGTCCGGCCAACTGTTCCAAGTGCTTCTGTAGATACGATTGCAAAGTGACTTTACTTTGAATGGTTGGTTGAGTTCCAGAAATGGTTAATAAACTTAGCTCAGTGGCAATGCTGACACAGCTTGTTAGGGCAATTATAGCTTTGCATAATTGACATCTTTATTAACCTACAATAACCTAATCTTTCTTTGAAGAGTTGTTTTCAATGCCTGTATAATTAGTTACCAGATTAAGAGGCATGAATTCAATCAAAGCCTTTTGTCATTGATAATACGATGGAGGTTGTCATTGATTGATAACTTATTGAGATGGTAAGAGGGGCAATGTATTTTGAAGGAAGTATTGAGTGAGTATCGTGTTAGTTTCTGACTTGAGTCTATTGCGCTTGCCATGTTTCATGATTCCTCGTAGGTGCCATGAAACACTCCTACCAACAAAACAAACTGAGCTCCATCAAAATTGCAGGCGGTGAGTTGAAATGTTATAAAAGAAACACCAAAGAAAAAGTAAAAAATAATAGAGCTCAGAGATTACAACTATCAGGAAAGAATTAACATAAAAGAGAAGGTTGAGGGGACATATTTGAAATTAAGAAGGGATTTGATAAATAAACTTGGAGATATTTACAACTATATTCAAAACAAGTGATCATAAATATGAAGTCAGAAATCACACGACACCAGGTTATAGCCCAACAGGTTTATTTAAAATCACAAGCTTTCAGAGCGCTGCTCTTTCATCAGGTGAAGTGGAGGGAAGCGCGCAGGCATGGAATATATTGGCAGATATATTGCAAATAGAGACAAATCAAATGGCTGGAATAACAGAGATAACAAGGTGTAGAGCTGGATGAACACAGCAGGCCAAGCAGCATCAGAGGAGCAGGAAGACTGACGTTTCGGGCCTAGACCCTTCTTCAGAAAAGGAAGCTGGAATAACATTAGTTTGTCTTTAGCACCATCTTACTTTTGATTATTGTAATTATCTCTCTGCCTTAATTAATTGGTTCATAGGTCATCCCTTCACTTGTTATTCAGCCGTTGACACTTTACTCACACTGTTTGACACACTTGATCACCTGCAAAGATTTGGAATTCAGCCTGTTGACACTTTACTCACACTATTTGTACTTGTTTGTTGACACTATTAATTACCTATAATTATCTTGCCATTATCTCTCCACCTATATGCTCTATACATGGGCGCCTCCCTCTACTTCACCTGACAAAGGAGTAGTGTGCCAAAAGCTTGTAATTTTAAATAAAGCTGTTGGCCTATAACCTGGTGTCATGTGACTTCTGACTTTGTCTGCCCCAGTCCAACAGTGGCATCTTCACATCATAAATATGCGACAGATTTCACAAGAAATTTCTCAGTAATTAGTGGGAATGTCAGACTTGTCTTAATGAGTGGTTAGAGCAATATCATTGAAGAATTTGGTGGGAAGCTGGATAAGGCAGAAACAATGGAAGATTATGCCGCTAGGATTACATTCAATACAGTAAGACATGGCTTGTGCAAAGCATAAACACCAGCAAGATCAAATGAGATGAATGGTCTGTTTCTGTGCTATAACTATGCACAGCTAATTGGGTACGCCTCAATGGCAAATATTAACTGATCTTTGGCTAAATTTCTGCAGTAAACATTTTCTTAATATGAGCTGAAAAGCTTGCAAGAAATAATAATAATACAAATGAAAGCAGATCACAACAATGCTACTAATGAGAGATAGTAGGAACTGCAGATGCTGGAGAATCTGAGACAACAAGGTGCAGAGCTGGATGAACACAGCAGGCCAAGCAGCATCATAGGAGCAGAAAGGCTGACGTTTCGAGCCTAGACCCTTCATCAGAAAAAATGCTACTAATGATGTGAGATAACACTACCACACATAGTTAACTGGTATACTTAAATACAACTATTACTTTTTTAAAGAGTATCATAATTTTCAGGTTTACATTACATTCCTACCTTGGTAATTTATCCAGCAGGTTCTTAAGTTCCTCACATATTAGCTTCACACAACCATTTTTGATATTGGAATACGACACATCAATCATGAAGATGAAGGCTGGTGGATTAGGAGGCTTGCTATTCTACAAATAAAATTGGTGGAATTTAGATTTGTGAATAACAAGAACAATTTTTCTTAATTAGCTGATCTCCAGATAGTTGTATCCAGATTTCACATAAACAAACTGACTGTGAAATTCCACAAGAGCTCTGCGGGGAGGGATGTAGAATTAGACTTCCATCATCAATGTGAAGTAAATGATACTGTTTCTCTTCCATCAAACACCAAGAAAACATTTTAGCTGGTCATCTGTCTCATTTGTTTGGTATAGTGCAGCTTGCTAGGTGAAAATTGGCTGTGATGTTTGTTTACATAACAACAGTGATTTACCTTCAAATTATTTGTGAAACGGTTTGTACCATCTTGAAGATGTGATAAACCACCTTATATACACAAGATCATTTTTCCTTTAAGATCACGTGAACTACTTACTTGCTTGTGTTTACAAATGAACCGTCTTCTCCACAATCGTTGTCATGTTACACTATTATGTTCATGTCTGACTCTTTACTACCAGCTTCATCTGAATTGGATCTTTCACTGTCTCCACTCAATTGTTGCAATTAAGTGATATAAATTTTAGTTTTATGTTTTCATTCATTTAGGATATAACTTTGGACCTAGTTTACAAGTTTACTTATATTTATCTAGAATATGTAATGCACCCAAAACAAAGAATTGACCAAATACTCAGAGCAACGTAATTATATGTTAGCACAGTGGTTGACAGCCGATCATGCAGGAGACTGGGCTTAAACTCCCTGCTGGGAATCTTTTGGGACCATGCAGGCCATATGGTGCAGTGATGATGTCAGAGGCCCTACCTCTTTGTTGAGGTGTGTCATAATATGCCTGTGCAGGTTTATCAAGAAATGCACTTTTTAAATTACTAAATGTTCTATTATGATCCGCTTCTAAAACTTATCCCAAGACTTCAGTTAATCTGTGAGACACCTGTATACTGGACATCTGGTAAACTGGCCTAAGTCACAATGGGACACAGGATGATTGAAGATGCAAAATTATTGCCTTGATCCATCACGTGCATAAAACTCTGCAGTGGAGATGAAAGTTTATCTCAAAGTATCTTATTGTGTTATGACTAAATATGCTTTTGACCAAGTTCAAACATCTATTTTACAGTCCCAGAATACCACAGAGGTTTACCTAGTTTTTTACCATAACTCCTGCAGGATATTTGCAAAGCCCCTAAGGAAACGGATTGAATAAGTGCAATGGCTATTTTCATTACTTTTCTGGGGAGTACGTGAGTCTCCTCTTGAAGTAAGACCAGTAAGACCATTGCCAATTTTTATTGTCAATTTAATTAAGATACTAACAAAATACTCATTGAAAAAGATATTAATGGATGCAAATCATTTTGAAAGCTTACTAAACTTTTAAAAGTAGACATATCTTAAAATCTATGAATATATATTGCTGAAAGAAGACACATTATTTGTCGCAAAAGGATATGATGTTTGGATATGATCCATTGAAACCAGGTATGTAGGCCACAGTCTGAAAGGATTGCATGAAACAGCAGGAAAAAGACAATGTAGTCGAGGAGAATACTGAGATACAGTCTATTAGACTAGACGGGATTGAGGTTCATAAGGAGGAGGTGTTAGCAATTCTGGAAGATGTGAAAATAGATAAGTCCCCTGGGCCGGATGGGATTTATCCTAGGATTCTCTGGGAAGCTAGAGAGGAGATTGCAGAGCCTTTGGCTTTGATCTTTATGTCGTCATTGTCTTCAGGAATAGTGCCAGAAGACTGGAGACTAGCAAATGTTGTCCCCTTGTTCAAGAAGGGGAGTAGAGACAACCCTGGTAATTATAGACCAGTGAGCCTTACTTCGGTTGTGGGTAAAGTGTTGGAAAGGATTATAAGAGATAGGATTTATAATCATCTAGAAAGGAATAATTTGATTAGGGATAGTCAACACGGTGTTGTGAAGGGTAGGTCGTGCCTCACAAACCTTATTGAGTTCTTTGAGAAGGTGGCCAAACAGGTGGATGAGGGTAAAGCGGTTGATGTGGTGTATATGGATTTCAATAAAGCGTTTGCTAAGGTTCCCCATGGTAGGCTATTGCAGAAAATACGGAGGCATGGGATTGAGGGTGATTTAGCGGTTTGGATCAGAAATTGGCTGGCTGTAAGAAGACAGAGGGTGGTGGTTGATGGGAAATGTTCATCCTGGAGTTCAGTTACTAGTGGTGTACCTCAAGGATCTGTTTTGGGGCCACTGCTGTTTGTCATTTTTATAAATGACCTGGATGAGGGCGTAGAAGGATGGGTTAGTAAATTTGCGGATGACACCAAAGTCGGTGGAGTTGTGGATAGTGCGGAAGGATGTTGCAGGTTACAGAGGGACATAGATAAGCTGCAGAGCTGGGCTGAGAGGTGGCAAATGGAGTTTAATGCGGAAAAGTGTGAGGTGATTCACTTTGGAAGGAGTAACAGGAATACAGAGTACTGGGCTAATGGTAAGATTCTTGGTAGTGTGGATGAGCAGAAAGATCTCGGTGTCCATGTGCATAGATCACTGAAAGTTGCCACCCAGGTTGATAGCGTTGTTAAGAAGGCGTACAGTATGTTAGGTTTTATTGGTAGAGGGATTGAGTTTCGGAGCCATGAGGTCACGTTGCAGCTGTGCAAAACTCTGGTGCGGCCGCACTTGGAGTATTGCGTACAGTTCTGGTCACCGCATTACAGGAAGGATGTGGAAGCATTGGAAAGGGTGCAGAGGAGATTTACCAGGATGTTGCCTGGTATGGAGGGAAGGTCTTATGAGGAAAGGCTGAGGGTCTTGAGGCTGTTTTCATTACAGAGAAGAAGGTTAAGAGGTGACTTGATAGAGACATACAAGAT